TAAATCGGCAAACCTAAATTTTACATGAAAGCTAGTGTAAGTAGGTTTGTCTCGTATGTATGCTATTTTTTACTTGTAACAAACAACAACACAAAACCAGGTCTACAAAACAAAACTTGACTCTATTATCATAGAAATTTATTATTGGGCAACATAATATAACTTTATCTGTATTTCAAAATAGACTCCTAGCAAGTCGTCTATTTCCAATAACTTTTCTACTAAATCCAGCTTAAGAAACTCAAGAGCTTTAGTCTATTAATGAGCGATTTTCTTAATCTGATCCGTAATTCCATCAAAAATTTAACGAGGAGGAGATTAATTCATGCTAAATTTGAACTTAAGCCCACTTCATCAAGAACTATAATTAATTTTCCACTTTTGCCCCGTCAGAGAAACAATAGAAATTGACATTATCAAGCTTGGTGGCAGCCCACCACATTTGCTGAGTAAGAAAAAAGCAAAGGTAGGTACAAGCAACAGCATGTCAAGCTTACACTGTAGCACCTTATGCTATAGCAATAGGTGATATTTTGGAACGAAAGTGTACAGGCTGATGTGCTGACAATTGTACCACCATTAGGCTGTTGCCGGTCAATGACAAACAATGCCATGTTGGCATTAGCTAGGGTTGGCAGACTTGACAGTAGGGGTTAGTTAGATCAATTTTGGTAATTACTTTTACTCGTGTAGGTAAAGATAATCCAGTTCTTTTTGTCCATCAACAGTTACATAAATAGTACTTGAATATCTATCTAATCATAAATATCTTAGCATATTTTATGCCTAAGAGACGAGCTATATCCTCAGACTGAGACTTTATTATCGTTACAAAATGTTACTTAAGGTGGCTGTGTTTACTTCGTCTTTAGTTCTGAAAATAAAACTTACAATACCCAAATAAATGTACTTAATCGAATCCAAAATACTAGTATGTATTTTGAAGTCAGCCCTAACATACGGAAATGGGTTTTTTCCTGTGCGTTTCGTGGAATTCGCAATTAATCTCTCCTGCGGACCAGCCGCAAATAATCTGTTGCTTTGTTCTCTGTATAAACTGTGCTATGACTATACATCTTCATTTTGGGTCAATTGAGCTAGAGATAATAATTGAATTCCGGAATAAAATTAAATATTACATAGTAAAATATTGAAAAGTTCTAAGGTTGAAAGGCTACTCTGGCGTCTCTGGCGCACTACTAAGGCTGAGTACTACTATACTTATAGTTTACGTTTAAAGTTAGTGGTGCAACTTTAAACGTAAACTATAACGCCGATGTTTTTGTATGGATTGTGACAGATTTTTTTACTTTTTCACCTCAACTGTTCATAAGTAACATCAATTAAACATTAAAATAAGAGTTTCTTATATTATTGGTACCTTCTAGATTAATTAGTAAGTTAGTTAGAAAATTATGAAATTGCTTCGTTTTCAGCGATTTAATTAAAATTGTTCTTGTGTTACCAGTACGCTTTTAAAATCTCCTATTCAAATATTCTTCAACAATTATAATTATTATGTAGCCAGATTATCTAATCCTAGCTAGGTACTTGTTTGATTACTTTAGGTAAAATGGAGTACGAAGTTTCGCTATTTATCATAAAAATCGATCTTTACAGTATTTTGTAACAACTCACACTAATGTTAAAAGACATCAGGCAACGTACAACAACAAAAGAAGTCCCATCCTTTCTTAATTTTTAATCCAGCAACTACAAGCTTGAAAACACAAAAAGAGAACGTCATGAAAATTCATAACAAGAATGAAAACTTTCAGGGCTCTATTGTTGCTCGGGGCCCAAAGGCAGAGCACGCTAACTATCACCAAGATCTTTTTGTTTTGCTATTAGCTTTTAAAACTTTGGTCTGGGTAAAATGCCATCTGTATGCTTACCATGAGTTCACGTTAGGTGTGCTCGCTAGCGAGTACGTCAAAAAAATCTATGAAGATTTTATTTCTTGAATATAGCCACTAGGGGCGCTGCACAATATGTCATACGTTTAATGTCATTTTTTTTACGTAGTCGCTAGCGAGCACACCTAACGTAAACTCATGGTAAGCACACTGATAATAAAAATGCTTGTGCTTATAAATTAGCAGAGCGTTTTATATTTTTAGTAAAGCTGATGTTTGATTAAATTCAGGTTTTTAAGTAGGTGGTTTGTTAACTTCCGTTTTTCGAATGTTTTCATTTGATAATTTCATAATACTAAGCAATTTCCTATTTTAACACGGAATGAATTTATAACGAAAAATCGCTGTTTGATTGAAACAGAATAAAACTCCAAAAAATACAAAATGAAACGGTCTTGTTTTACAGATTTATGTATTATTTTAATTAATTATCTCTGCAGACCGCTTGATTAATAATTAATTCTCCGGAAAGCAGCATGTAATTAATAACTGTAACCAAAACCACGGACAACCGCAAACGAAATATTCGAGCTGAAATGTAGCTCTGAAAAATACCAGTGAAATAAACTGAAAATTTCACGCAAACCCACAGTATCATATTAATATTAATCGCGGTTCGGTTGCACCTGGCACAAGTGGCGTCAAATGTGGCGTTTTAATTAATGACGGTCCGTCAGACGCGTCATCCCGTCATAATGACCTGACATGTGACGCGATAGTGATTTGTTGGGGACGCGTGGATACCCCATTAGGGCAGGGTGCTTTGGTTGGTAAAACTGGAGTTAATGACTATCCAAGGATACGATGACGGAACGTTGGTAACATGATAATGATTAACGAGCTGTACAGAATCGACACCGGAAATCAATAGTCCACCGTAAACCTGCCATATTGCATTTAACATTTTGTTCAGTGTGTTACTTGACAATGCAGTAGTATAACTGAGGTCATTGAATAACAGTGATGTTATCAGGCTTCTAGAATTTTCATAAGTGACCTTTTCACTGGCCTCATAATAATTTTTCGCTATGTGTAGGTAATAATCCTTACAGCTTCATTCAAAGCCTAGCATAAGTGCCTCTTGATCAAGAAAATAGGATTAACCATAAGACTTGCTGATAAAAAAGTTTTCTTTTTCCACGCCTGAAACAAAAGTGCTAAAAGCTAAGATTACGTTTCCTCAAAAAAATAACAACATAATGGTGCTCGGTCGCCGCGACCAACGCTCCAACAAATTGGTTGTCACCTCCACGTCAGCACTGACAGGGTTATTACAGCGATTTTTAATACCGAGGCGGGTCACGTTTGGCCTTGTGTAGTGTAGGGTTATGACTTATGAGATTCGGGATACCTGTTATGTGTTAATCTTTGACATGAAAGAAATAGCCCCACTTGTGTGTAGTCGTTAATGAAAACCTTAAACAAGAGCATGACAGGAGTTTTGAAAGTAAAATAAATTAAATGGAACAAACATTTGAAGGTAAATGCCTAATAGATTGCTAATCTGATGTCAACTTTTGGGCTAAGTGTACAGTTGACAGTACATTAGTTATATAAAACTGTTTGTTGCAAAATACATCTATGACCTATGCCGAAAGCTTATGAGAAAAAATATAAATAAAATAATAATAATAATAACTTTATTTGTCCAAAACACAATCGTGATGTTAAATAAGGTACATGTTAAAAATTTATGTAGTACATTGGTAGGCGAGATTGCTAATGAAAATATTATATGCTATAGCTAGCCTATGATTTATATTATAATTTCCAAAACACACAACCGTTTCCCTCACAACAACTATTTTCATTTTCGAGACCGCAAAAAACTACGTGTGCACAAAAACTCAATAACGAATAAAACAATAGAAAACGCGAACGAAATTCCTGAATAGTTCACGTTTCACTGAAAACTTTTGTTTGCAGGTGATAGGAAAAATCCGGATTCCAAACGGACAGTTAACACTAAACTTGCGGAGTTATTTCCTAAAAAGTTCCCGGAACATTCGCAAAAAATCGCAAACATTCGCAAACGCTGTGAGTAAGTAATTTGCGACGTCCGCCGCACGCGTGTCGCACGCCTGCCGTGCGTTGCTTTTTAATTAATATAGGGGGCGAGCGCGGCCGGGTATAAATCTTAGTTAATGCCCCTTTAGTCTGGCCAAGGGTGGGGTTACAACGGTTTCGGAATTTGTAAGACTTGATTTGACATTGGTAATCAATGAGAAGGAAATTGAAAAAGTCTTGGAAAAGAGTGTTAGAAATAGATTGCTCGTGTTTCGTAAGTCTTGAACTGAGGAGAAACTAGACAAATTACACATTTAGTTTTGGTTATGCCTCTACAAAAGTGTTTACACACTGATTTTCTATTCAAAATGTAATCAGTAGGTATGACTACAAAATAACTAATATTTTAGTTGAATATTTAACACACAAACTAAAATTACTAAATGTTGTTGTTATGTTATTTATTTAAGGTTACATTTTGCGCCGTCATTTGTCGCTAAACAACCTTTCTTAATAGTGTTGTTTGTCGCTAAGCAACCTTTTTAATTTGACAACTATTATTTAATAATCGCAAGCGCAGGGTTACAGTTTCGCTTTTTGACAAAATAATGTCGTGAAAATACTATCATGTCCTAAGTGACGTAAGCATCATGGCCGCCCTAGCCAGCCTCATGTGCGGCTCTCGGCAGTTCGCAGCCGATATGTCTTTGCGCTGATGGCCGACGAAGCCATTAAACTGCACTCAGACGATTTATTAAAAACTTGACATGGACGTAAAATTACTTTGGCACATCTTCACCACCCCACACTTTGATTAAAACAGAGTAATTGAAGAATAATTGTAATGGAAAATTAACTTTGAAAAAGTTTCGTTTCGCATTATTAATTCATTCGTGAAAATTCGCATAAAGTAATAGTTTTAAGACCTTAGGCAAAACAAACTACCTACCTAGTTATTTTTATATAAACTAGCCTAATACATTTTACCAACGTCAAATTATTATTCTGAAGCCGAATAACATGCATTATTCGTAAACGACTGTCATTTTTAAACAATATTTCTTCTCTTTGTTCCAGAAATGCGACGTTTCTAGAGCCTCACCTGCAAGGAGTAAGGCGCCGCGACAGCCGCAGTTCCGACTCGGACCACGATGAGCGCTCCACCGAGGATGACGAGCGGTCACTCATACGCAGGTGAGAATATAACCCATCCCAGTCAGCCGTATTTTGCAGACTCCCTAAACTCGCGGAGCTATTTCCCAAAAAGTTCGCAGAAAATTCTCAAAAAAATCGTAAAAAATCGCAAAAATTCGCAATAATGATGACTAGCGGTTACTCATATGCAGGTGAATTGTTCTGGCAACTCTACAATACCATTTTCCTCGAGCCTTACGTGCTGGGACAGGACAGATAATGTAGGGCTCCCGTCATCAGAAGGATAAGGCATAGGGTTCGATGTTTCGTCACTCGCCTGGAATAAACTCGGGAATCTAGATAAAAGTTAGAGTTTAACTGGTACATACCCTCCCAGCATTTTCCCTTGCCCACCCCCCAGTTAGGGGAGTGATAGCAGCTACGAGCATGCAACTGTTCTCGTCTACGTGTCTGACGGGGGAAATGCAAGTAAGCACGTAATGTAACCACTCCTAGTCATCATTGTTCTGCAGACCTACTCTAAAATACGACTTTCCTTAAGCCGCCCTTATTAGGAGTAAAGCGCCATGATAGTACTAAATGCCTTCCTTCATGTGGGTCCATGTAGTCCTAGTAATAAGATGTATTCATTGATGCTTGTCCAATTTCCTATCTGGTCGAATATCTGGTCGAACGAAGGAAATCCTTGTAAGATGTCTTTCAGCCATGCTTCGACTAGACATCATTTTAGGACATCCAATACTAACTTAAACCTTTCCACAGTTCACCAAGAACAAGGCTGCCGCCGCCCCCTCCCCCGCCCCCGGACGACGAGCCTCCCCCGCTGAAGCCGCGGGAGTTCTTCGAAAGGCTCCAAAGCCAGGCCATGAGGGAGGCGCAGGATCGACGGCGCCCGCGCGACCTGAAGGACCAGCTGTTCAGGCCTGTTGATGCTGAAGGCAGTCTGGGGGATAGTCTTAGTCAGGTATGTATGATGTAATTTTAAGATTAGAAAAGCTTTGAATGATAACTGTGGTGTTCCTTGAATAGGCTTGAATCTACGTCTAGCTGTGTACATAACATCCCTTCTTAATAAAGTGTGAATAAAATATGTAGTTTCGGTTATGGATACGGTTACGGATATTTTTTTATTTCGGATATCCGAAAGTTTCGGTTACGGATATTATTATGTGCTTTATTAGAATGCAATTAGCAATAGTTGTCCAACAGGGTTCATTCATGGACGCACACTTTAGGTACATCGAATAAAAAGCAAATAAATATACTACTCGTAGATGGCATTATAAAAAAGATAAATCAGGCTGTTATGCCTTTACATAATATAATGCTATACAAAAAACAATTTAAACTGACTACATCCGAAACTATCCGAAACTTTTGATTCGGTTACGGTTTCGGATATTTTTTTATTTTGGATATCCGAAAGTTTCGGTTACGGTTACGGATATCCATAACATCCCTGGAATAAAGACTAGATTACTTTAGGCATGCCAGCAAACATGGGTTCAAGCAAATTTTTTGGGAACTAGTCATAAAAACCGTGGGCCCACTTTATAAAAATGTAACATTATCTTTTTAGTAGGTACGGATGTACTATGCGTTGATGTCCTTACTCTATTTTTACGAGAATTCAACTACTACTCGTATGTTTGAAATGTTAATGAGAAAATAAACATTTTGATTTATTGAAGATGTCTCGCCAGATGATGAAATGTTATAAAATAAAAATAAAACGCCAAGTCAGTTTAAGTTATGTTTTAGTACTCCAAATACTGCTCCCGATTGTTATTTAACTTTACAGCGGTTTTGTTTTATATACTAACTTCAGCAAAACAAAAACAAGTGAACAATAAACAGTTGAGTCCACTACCAAACTTCTACCAATCCTTTATGGTCCGACAGCAAAGTTACTATCCAAAGTTACGACTGTCCAAACTAGAGAACTCTGTCTAATGAAGCGTCCAATAAACTTTCCAAAATACAGCACCGGGTGATGGCGGTTTCGTAAAATATTGTTTATAACCGTGGAATAGACTAGTGCTTTAGTTGCACAAATTACGTGGGGCTTTCGAGTTTTGCAGTGTTGAGATAGGGGTTGGTTAATATTGATAATCCTCTAATGTCATCACAATTTTAATTTTGATAAATACAATTTCAGCTGCTATCATGATCCGTGCCATATTACTACCGTTTAAGAAGATAAAAAGAAATAAGTCCTCAGTGGCTCACTCTTGATAACTTCAAAAAATAGAAAAAATAGATGAATCAATAAAATTAGAGTTTCTAAAGTCCATAATTCATTTCATATTCATAACTGTCTATGAGCACAAATCGTCTATTGCTTTTCAAACTGGTCTATTTACTCCTTCAGGTGATTAAGCTTTCAAAAAAATCTACCAAAGTTGTGAGGAGAGTTGAAACAAAGTTTTATCGATACTCAACTATCGACATGTCGACAACACAACACGAGTTTGAAATGCAGTTTTTAGTTTCGCAGACTACCCGCGGACGCATTTGCATGTCGGATTGTATTGCGGGAAGCGAATGTCGTTATAATGAAATATAGTATCGAATACCCTCATTTTGCTCCGTTCTAATATCCATGTTTCCGCTACCATTTATATAAGTCGCAACGTAATGTAATAAGCATGCTCGTATGCAGGAAACACTATTCTGTAACATAGTATTAACGTGTCAGGTGAAAATGATTCAGCGATATAAAGAACATTATTTTACTGGCTTATACTAGATCAAACACAGATTATAATACAGACTTTTATATTGATAAAAGCTTTTGTGAAACTTATTGAGTAGTTTTTGCGTAAAAGAGTACCAAACCACCTATCTTTACTTACTTACGATAGCACCCAATATTTTAGATGAAAAACATTGAAAATTTTTTGAACTGAAGCATGGTCTGTTGTGTCAATATTAGATAGAAAATGCCCTATGAAACCCTCATAGAATAATGACCTATGAAACCAAGGCCATTTTTCAATCTTTCAAATCTTTAAGGGATATCAAAAATCGAATCTAAGCCAACAAATAAAAATCAGTAACCTTAACAAATGATTTCATAAATGCATCAGTAACATTTACCATCTGTAGCCTGTACAGCAGCATAATGCACATTTTTGTTGAAAATTGAACCTCATTCACTTCTATTAAGGCCCACGACAAGTGTGCACATTTCTGCGCCCTCATCGCATTACCATTTGAATGTGTATCCTAAAGTAACGCTACAAGAGCAATATTTTCCAATTCCACTGAAGATTAGATTTGCCACCGTGAATGGTTGCGCTCTTAACGCGATATTGGTTCGATCATGTGGAGCATTTGAAACGTCTTGGATGTGAGATTTTTAACCGCTTTAAGTCGGGTAAAAATGATGCGAGTTTACAAATAATAAAGTTATAGAGCTTTTGAGCAAACATTGTAAAGGAAATGTTTAATTTAAAATTATAGAATATTAATTTAATCGCCATATATTGCCAACTCACAGGCAAGCACGACCAAAGTACACAAATCATAATGAAAAGACTGACAGAAAGCTGAACAGTATTTTAGTGTAAACTGTGCTAGTATTTTTTATAATTTTACTAGGAGTAACAAATCAAAACAATCATTTTGTGAAGTTTCACAAAGTTAAAATTTATAGATCAAAAATAGTATTCGCCTTCATATTATCAATAAAACTTCGATTTTATAGACTTATTGCCATCTCCGGCTCGGGAAATGTTCAGTGAATTGCTTTTCTAGGGTGGATAAGGATTTAAATCACGTTTCAAGTTTTATCATGTTTTGGTTCAGACTTTGCACGTGTCCAGTTTTCGGATCATTTTAGCTCCGAGAAAATAATTTTATCTCGTCTTACTGGACATGCATTTTTAAACATGTCTGAAATCATGAAATACTATTATCACCATAGCATCATTAACTATAGGAAAAGTATTCTGAAACAATTCGAAGTCCAATTCGCACATTCGTCTACAGATAATATGTTTGTTTACCTCACTTATTGCGCACAACCGAGCCCAATCCCCATCTATTCATCAACTTAATTTAAGTAACATGAAACAGACAGTACATTAGAAGTAGGTAATATTTATGTCGTCACTATTGCTAGAGCATGCTCTACATTTCGCTATCCAAAAAGCGGTCTCCATTCAAAGATACTTCGTCATATATTATTACACATAATAGCCAAAACTGTTGGACCAACTTGGCATATTCCCACACCTTTAATGCATCCACAAATTGTTCACACTAAAAGCCATATGTTTCTACTTTTGACAACATTCGCGCTCACAACACGTTCTCGCACTCAAAACACCGCAAGCACTTTACTCCAAGAATTCGCATCAACCTTATTTCAACCCTATAGAGTTTCAAACTGCGTAACTTGAGCTGTGGTGACCTGTACAGACAAGTGTTATTGTAGTTCTTAGGCTATTGTGACACAGTTGAAAATGGCGTGAGGTGATGAGATGGGTGTACCCTCAGGTGTTACTTCACAGTCAATTGAGGCAGCTTTGTGAATACTTGAGGCCGTCGGACCCCTGACGTGCAGCGGTTTTGTTTTGGATTCACGTTTGTTGGGAAACACGTACGCGACAAGCGGAAGGTGTTTTAGTCAATGGTTCAGGGGTTCAATCTAAATAAGTTGGGGATTTCATTCATTTCTGTGACATAGAAATACGTTGTTGTTGGTATACCTCAATAAATAAATAAATACGTACTTTGTTAGATTATGTAGTGCCTCTTGCCCTCGTGTATCCACGGAAGACCAGGGTCGTGGTGTTCCTTACGACACATCGACATAATGCTGAGTAGACCGTTTCGGTGACACGCACATTACCTACTTTATATTTGTTATAATTTTCTAGATTTGTTTTGTGTCGCTAAATAAAAAATTTCATTTCATGAAAATGATTTCATTTCATTTTCCAACATAAGTGTTCAATTTGAAAGACTGATAATTTTTATAAGATGTTAAATAAAATTTAACCCTACCTCACTGCTTTAGTCAATAATTTGGGTCAGAGGTAAGCGTAAAAATAAAGAACATCATAAAAAATACATAATATTATTAACTTTATCAGCTATCAAAAAAATAAATTAACTTACCTGAAAATACTTGAAATTTTAGCATAGTTCACAAAAAGTAATTTGACAAAATAAATTGAGAAACTGCTATGACTCTAATCTTAACTCCAACTTATTTGTCCCTTTGGCGTCAAGTTAATACCTTCACTTTTAAGGTAAACTTAATTAAAGAGTATGATCAAAGCGATTTCATCCAAAAGGGTGGGTCTAATATTAGTAATGAAACATAAACAAAATACTCACAAAATACTGTAGGTATATACTACCTTGTTTTTAGCTCAAAATTCAAAGGTGAGGGAGGTGCGTGGGACGAAGCTTTATGTATCTCTTGAGTTTATTTTTTATTTTGAAATAATTTTACAATAATACTAAGGATTTAAATAAGTGCTCTGCAACACTCTGCTCGGAAAAGCTCTATGAAAAAGTGGGAGACCCTGCTTTGTTGTAATATACTTTTTAGTTTATCAGTACACTGAAACGATTGATGTTATATTAACGTGAGTTTATTTTAGATTATTCAAAGAAATAACGATAATGATCTACCATCTATTTTGCCTTTCCCGAAGGCCTAAAGGATCCAGCCTATTGAGACACCCTCAGGCCTTTTCATTTTTTCGCAATATATAATCAATTATTTTAATTAACACTCGTTTTACCTGTTCTAATGGAATAATTGTAAGACCAAATTAGGTGCATCCGTAATTATAACCGCCATTAAACTGGCCATTCAGACCCTGTAGCGTAGGGTTAACGCGTAGTATTCATTACGCAGCACTTACTGCCTCATCTGGCACCCCTAGGGTTACCATCTTTCTGGAATTGTCCAGAATTATCAGGACAAGAGACCGTCCGTCCGCG